ATATATATATATATATATATATATATATATATATATATATATGTTTAATATGTAGTGCTGGGCTCCAGGTAATTAAAGATGTGTATGTAAAAATGTGGAAATGTGGAATATTCCCAAACAAGGTAATGATGTATGACAGATACTGGCTGAGCCAGAAGAGGGTGGTGTGTGGTAGATTTGATCAACAGTATGCTCCATAAATGTTCCTAACCTTTCCTCCCAGGTAATAAGATTGTGGATCTCATTTGAAAGAAAATAGTTCCCACAATGATAGGACCAGATGCAGAAAGTGAGATGTTCCTGGCTTCTGAGTTCTCAAACTGAGTTTGTAATACATGCCCACTGGTTAACTGAAATGGCTCAAGGATGCTGTCAGTTCTTGGCCTGTGTGTGCAGCCATTCTGCCATCTGTGTGTTGCCCTGGGAACAGAAAGAAGCAACTTCCATAAGGCAGAGAATGGGGTGGACTAGCTGCCTGCTCATAGCCACCCTGGCTTCACTGAAACTTGCAGTTGGCCTCACATGTATCGACTGATGTCATAGGCCTCTCTGCCCCCTGTTGGAACCCTGAACTGCTAAGCCTTGCAGTTCAGGAATCCTATCTTTGACACTCATAACACTGTGTACTTTCTTCTTGCTGGCTCCTATAGCATTGCTTTAGAAGTACAAACAGGGAAAGAAAACCACAAATTAGGTAGGAGATTTGCTACTGACTTACCACTGGGCATATCCCTGCTGGCCTATGGTGTCCTAGCCCTTCCAGGGTGGCCCCGTGTGTTTTCAAATGCATGTTCCAAAGTGGGCCAATGTTAAAAACGAAATAGCCTAAGTTTAAAAGCAAAATGTTACAGTACAAAACCAAATACACTGTCTGAGGGGAGAAAGGCCTCTCCTTGATTGACGCTCTGATAAAGAAGACCCTGCTGTACAGTAGTAGGCCACAGCCTCCATGACAGACCTCTCTCTTCCTATGTAGACTATAGATCTTTCTTTCCTCAAGCCTCCAAATGTTGCGGATATTTTCATGGCTTTCTGATAAGTCCAGCTGCAGCTACCTGCTAAGCCCAGGCACATGGCTACCCTGTCTGGGCCATGCTGGACCTTTGGAAGAAGCCACAGTCACTCTCAGGCCTCCCCAGCACAACCCAGAAATTCCACTAGGAACATTCACCACTTACTGAGCATACAACATGGGAGCCAGGAAACCATGGGCTATGATCTGTCTTTTTCCTTTTTCTCTCCTGCATCAGCCCCAGTTGTTTATAAATGTTTCTCAAGAGACGCCCCCAGCTGCAAGCAGCACAGAGCTAAAGATGGTGTGTTGAGAACATTTACAGTAAGTCAGGTTTCCAGGTGCCCTCTGGAACACTCTGGAAGCAGCTAGGAACATGGCTCTATCACAGAGTCAGTTCAACGGGCCACCACACCAACTTGAAGGTAGTACACGTCTTCTTTTTCTAGTATGTGTGAAAATATAGAATACTGGAAAAATTAAGAATATTCCTTAGCCAGGTGGAGATGGCATACGCCTTTACTTCCAGCACTCGGGAGGCAGAGGCAGATGGATCTCTGAGTTCAGTGCCAGCCTGGTCTACAAAGGGAATTCCAGGACAGCCGGGACTATTGCACAAAGAAACCCTCTCAAAAAAAAAAAAAAAGAATACTCCTTAACAAAAACTTATGCTGGTAACTTGGAGTCAGGAAAGAGAGGTCTATTTCAGTTTCCTGATGCTGCCGGTTTATACTTTCAAGTACTGTTATGCAGGAAGGAGCCATCCATCCAGTCTGTGAGATTATTTTATCATCCACACTCTGACAGGACCCCTGGCCTGGAGCGTATCTGTTGCCGAGAGCCCCAGAAGGTCACGCTTTCCCAGTTCAACCTGATATAAGTCCCTTAACTTCCCCAACCCTAGAACACAGTGGTGGCTGTTTTTAATCACACACTTGTATGTGTGCCTGGGTGTGAGTGTGTGCACAAGTGCAGATTCCCAAAGAGGCCAGAAGAGGGCATCAGATCCCCCAGGAGATGGCATTACAGGCCTTGCGGCCCACTGGTATGGGTGCTAGGAACCCAACAGAGGTTGTCTGCAAGAGCGGCATGCACTGGTAAACGACTGAGCCCTCTCTCCAGCCCCAGTTCTTGTGTTGATACTGCAATTTTAATTATGTAGCTCAGTTCATATCATGGGTGCCCAGCACGTACTCGGCCATGGGTCTGATCCTCAGCACGGCATGAATCCAGTGTGATGGTGCCTATAATCCTAGCCCTGGAGATGTGGTAGCAGAGGGATTAGATATTGAAGGTCATCACTGACTACACAGTGAATTGGAGGATAGCCTGTGCCATAGGAGATCTTGTCTAAGAAAAAAAAAAAAACAATAAAGAAAATGAAGCCTGGAGAGCTAGTTTGGTAGTTTAGAGTGTACACTGCTCTTCCAAGTTTAGTTTTTGCACCCACTTTGGGCAGTTCACAGCCACCTATAACTCCAGCTCCAAGGGGGAATCAGACACCACTGCCTTCTGTGGGTGCCTGTCTTCATATGTGCACATACCCATGCATAAACCCACATAATTACACATTTTTTTTAAAAAAATGAATTTAAAGGCCAGAAAGATGGCTTAGTAGGTAAAATGCTTGCTATGGAAGCTTGATGACCTGAGTTCAGTTCCCAGAATCTACCCACATTAAAGGTAGAAGGAGAGAACCCAACTCTAGGAAGCTGTATTCTGACCCCACACATGGATTGTGGTACAGGTTCACCCATACACACACCACACACATACCACACATGCACAGACACAGACACACACACACACATGCACACACACAGACACAGACACACACACAGAGACACAGGCACACATACTGACAAACACACAGACACATACACATATACACACATGCACAGACACAACACACACACACAGACACATACACCACACACACACAACACACACACATGCACAGACACAGACACACACATACACAATGCACACACACAGACACAGACACACACAGAGAGACACAGGCACACATACTGACAGACACACAGACACATACACATACACATATACACACATGCACAGACACAAGACACACACACACAGACACATACACCACACACACACACACACACACACACACACACACACACACACACA